AATGACTGAGTGCTTTTCTGCTGTCACGACAAGTTTTGTCAAAAAAATGAAGGAGCTTTAAGCCTTCTGCCTCAAAACCAAAATCTGAAAACAACTTTTAAAAAACAAGTTGAAGCCTGATCTCTGCCTAATGGACTGGCATATCATGTACCTCGTTAAACACCGTGCAGCCAAAACCAAACTCAACTTCCCTTCAGGTGAGTGAGGAGGTAACGAGATGGGGATTGCAAGACTTCCTGATTCAGTGAGAGAAAACTGCCCAGAAACAAACCTCAACCTCAGCAATCGGAGGAGGGATTAAAGCGTGTCAGCACCGTGTTATACCACTCCCCTGTCACCTAACAGCGCAAGATCAACTTTGCTGCAACAAATTTGTGATTGTCCAAATGAATAAAAAACTCTCTAAAAACATGCTCATTTGTTTATCTTTGGTAGAACTGCACAGTCTCTGCCTCTCCTCTTCTCACGTTTGCACACCCATTAAGGAATGTTATTTTTACTGCCCCACAAAGCCTCAGGTATCCTGACCCTGAGATGAAGGCATTTTGGGGGGGGGGGGGGGTTCTTTTTTTTCTTTTGAGATTTGCTGCAAGAATTTTTAAGGTGGGACTAACTACTGAGAATAACCAGGGACAAGTCTGACAGCATTCTCAACCTCACCCAGAGGAGCCCAGCAATTTCACTGTACGCACAAAAATGAAAACAGACATAGTTAGATCATCAGTCAAACACAAACAGGGAAAGGGCTGGGCCATGCAATGAAACAAAGGCTTTCCATTCTAAGTAAAAACTACTAAGGTTAAATTGATTCTATGTGTAAATATGTGTATGTTCTGATTTGGGAGATATAAGATCATAAAATTGAGATACAAGTGCTATGGCTGGTGACTCAAGAGCCCTGATTGAACAGCACAGGTTCATCTTAAAGGGATCCAGGGAACTGAACCCACTTCTGAAAGTCTAGAAGAGCTCACTTCTAATTTTTCCTTTGTTCTAAAACACTGTGTATCATCTCTGAAAGTTACTACCACCCATTTTGGTTACAAACCTAGTTACCAACGATGACCATGAGTAGCTCCTTGAGGCAACACCAGATAGGAGCACACCTCCCTCACTCTGCCCTTTAACCTCCTCACTTCTACCTGGTTAGAGTCAATGGGCCCTTGAAGTCATGCATTCAACTCTACAAAAGGGCTGACATAGTAATTTTGAACTTATGTCAATAAATATGAACTTGGATTCATATTTGAGTTTAGCTGATTTGTTCTGTTTCTCCTGTTGCCAATAAGACACTGAAGGCAACAGTATAATTGCGCTGAGAATCTCCATTTTTACACAAAACACACATTTGTGTTTGCTACTAATCAAACCATGAAGAGCACTGTTATGTTAGGGTTTCAACTTAGTGAAGACCAGCAGAAAGGTGCCAAAGATCCCAGGAACCACACTGCATTTAGCTGAGGCTGGACTGCCCATCACAGCTGACAGAGCAACTGCAGAACTGCTTTCAAAAGGCCAAGTTTTAGCCTTCTGGGAATGTAAATACTGCTGCTGTGTGCTCAGCTCTCACCATCACTAGTTGTGATCTGCTACCACAATACTCATCTGTTTAGTCAGAACTTCCAAGGAACACAAAGCAAGATGAAAACAAATTCAGATCACTGTTCTGCCACAACTTTATGGAACAAAGAGGGCAATTAAACTGAAAAGATCCAACTGTTATCCTGGCAGGATGGAAATTAAACGAGGGAACATTGAACTCTAAGCTGCACTTCCCTCTGCTGGTCATACTAACGTAATACCTATCAAAAAATAAATTCAGCAACATACAATTCATACCATTATGACAAGACTGGTTAACACTAATGTTTCCTACCCAGCCATATCCTGTTTATCTTACATACTCTCCTTAATGCTCTCTCCTGCTCTTGCCCACTTGCCTCATACCTTTGTAGGGTCTTCATTTTATCATTTACATTTGTCATCATTATTCTTCTGGTGATAAATGGCTTTTGATGCTGCAAAAAGTCCATCTTTAGTGGCAACAATGGTACTAAAGATCCTTCCACTCTCTTTTAAAACAACAAAGGTGCTGTATGCTGCCATTGGGAAGCAGAATATGCCATCTGGGCATCATTTTGAAGGAAAAAGCTCCATGTGGAAAAATATGCTGCAATACTAAAGACATGCACAGTATGTGCCACTGCAAGTGTTTCAGAACTGTCACATTTGAAATTGATTTACTGAAATCTTGATATTTAGTAATCCTCTTCTTGCTTTTCACGATTTGCATAAGTCAAAAAGAGGATGCTATAAAGTTCATAGCGCCTGCTTCACCTAGAAAATTGCTTTTTGTTGCTGAAAAAATGATAATTATCTTTTTACTTTTGGGTGCTCTGAAGTTGGAGCATTTGAGCAAGACATTTAAAGAAATTAGAACAGCAATTCAAAACCAGTTACTCTTAGAATTGTAACCTTTATTTCCAAGTGACTTACAAATAATAATGGTTATCAGCCTGCTACTGAATGGTAGCACTGCTGGGCAGCACAGTGTTCAAAAGAGCAGTAAGACTCAGAACAGATCTCCTGGACTATCACTTAACAGATTGTGGGAGCTAACCCCTACTGACACTTCAGCTCTGGGTTACAGGCAATATTCCCACTTTTACTTCCAGCCTTACAATCCCAAGTTTGAGAAAAAGATTATTCAAAAGCTTTTAGTTCAGGTATCTTGCACATTGAAGGAAAGAGGACAGTCAGAACACCAGTACCAGAGATGGCTTCTAGGTTACCTGAGCAATCGCTGCTTCGTTGTCCGCCAGCCCCAGCAAGAAGATCCTCACTTTGTCTATCTTCACTGGAACAGTTCTTCCTCTCCACTCCACCTCGCTCATCGTGGCAGCCTGCTTTGCTCGGGTTTGAGTTATCAGCGCCTGGAGAGAACAGACCAAACTTAGGAGCTTGAACTTTAAGGTATCCAAAACTGAACCTTTCAAATTCACATTACACTTGGCTGTTTTGAAATCAAAGGGCTTTTTAGGAAAGTGTAGGTTCCAATAGAGCCCAGGCTTGCTTGCTCCCTTCTGATACTGTTTCTGCTCTCAAATGGTGTGCTGCAGCAGTATTTGTGGTCAACAGAGTGATAATCATAGAATCACAGGCTGGTTTGGGTTGGAAGGGACCTTAAAGCTCATCCAGTCCCAACCCCCCTGCCATCAGCAGGGACACCTTCCACTAGACCAGGTTGCTCAAAAAAACGGGCCTTGAACCCCTCCCGGGGGGGCCCAGCCACAGCCTCTCTGGGCAACCTGTTCCAGTGTCTGACCACCCTCACAGTGAAGAACTTCTTCCTAATATCTCATCTAAACCTCCCCTCTTTCAGCTTAAACCCATTTCCCCTTGTTCTGTCATTAACTGCCCTTATGAAAAGTCCTTCCCCAGCTTTTTTGTAGCCCCTTCAGGTACTGGGAGGCCGCTATAAGATCTCCCTGGAGCCTTCTCTTCTCCAGGCTGAACAGCCCCAACTCTCTCAGCCTGTCCTCACAGCAGAGCTGCTCCAGCCCTCAGATCATCCTGGTGGCCTCCTCTGGACTTGTTCTAGCTGCTCCAGGTCTCTCTTGTGTTGGGGGCTCAAGAACTGGATGCAGTACTCCAGGTGGGGCCTTAGGAGAGCGGAGTAGAGGGGGATGAATGTTTCAGCTTGAAGCATGTAAATAATTTACCTCCAGTTTTTCTGCAAGAAGACCTTCAGTGCCACCAGACCTCAGTCTCATCTGCATCAACTCATTCATAGCAGACTGGTCACCTGAAAGAAGTCACAAATTGAGATCACATTTCCATCCGAGTTCACAAATCATTTTAATACAGAACAGCTAATCCATAGATTTTATACTGGCAATCTGGGGGACAAAGGGGATACATTTGCAATTTCATTCTGACTTCATAAGCAAGCTACTGCAAACTAATTCTGCCTTTCTACACAAAACCACACGCACAGCCGTAAAAGGATTGTATTTCTCCACTGCTAAACTGACACAGAATGTGTGCAGAATTTGCCCAAAATATTATGGATTTACTCTGATGTCACTTTGGCATTTAACTAGCAAGTCGATATTCCTTTCCTGTGAACAAGCCTTCCTCTTTGTTGGAGATAAGGTACCTCCTGCTTTCCTTACCAATGTTATAGGCACAGTAGCGAATGTTGGGTGAGATCTCTTCCACAAGCTGGTTATACAGCACAGCTTGTTCCTCTGTGAAAGCATTGGCCAGTTTTTCATAGATGGTCCTACAGCACAGAAAAGAATATTAACACTGTGGTGCGTGTCACTTTGTGAGATGTATCTTACGGGAAGAGTTTGTGTCTCTACTCTGGAGGATGATATTTCTTCAGTAGTACTTCCCAGTTAAGGCCACAATTAACTAAACAACTCACAGAGCTGCTGTACGCACAGTGCAGAAACTTACTCGACTGATCCAACAGTATTTACTAAACGAAGCTGGTGAAGCCGGGGGGGTGGTGCGTGTCACTTTGTGAGATGTATCTTACGGGAAGAGTTTGTGTCTCTACTCTGGAGGATGATATTTCTTCAGTAGTACTTCCCAGTTAAGGCCACAATTAACTAAACAACTCACAGAGCTGCTGTACGCACAGTGCAGAAACTTACTCGACTGATCCAACAGTATTTACTAAACGAAGCTGGTGAAGCCGGGGGGGGGATGTATGCCTGCAGGCAATGCAAAGGCAAGTTAATTTCCCCCAAACCAACAGCCTGGTTTGTACAACCTTTAGTATGAAGGCTGCTGCGACACCTACAGTCACTGATTGAGCCTTGCCCTTTGCATTTGTGCCCCTCCCACAGGAGACAACTGATTTGGATTACAGGTTACTAACTACCTACCTGTTTTTTGGGGTTTTTTTTTAACTGACATTATTCCATTTCTAAGGAGCTGAAAGCAAAGGTGTTTCTTGCCTGTTAGGAAGCAACATGGTTCACTGAGGTCACAAAACACCTTTTTTCCCTGGCAATAAGCTACAAAACAGCAGTTTTAATTAACCAAGTACTGCTGCAGCCCCTTGCTCAAAGAGGCTAGTGTCACAACACAGTGGCTTTCCATGTTCCAGGAACCCAAGCCACAAGTCTTGTGTCCCAGGTGGCTACTTTAGGCCATTTAACAAATAGGTAACTCAACAGAAAAGCAGAGTTTCTTTGGCTCTGCTGTATCATCTTAGTCCCTCTCAATTATTGTTACTTTTATTGAATGTACTGACAATCACTGGATACACTTAATCAACTTCTAAAGACCACGTCCTCATCTTGGCTGGTGCCACTGGTTCTTTCTGCAATTCCAGCAGCTGCATTAACAGTAAGTCCAAGATATTCAAAGGGAGACACTATCCAGTGTCCTGGTTTCTCCTGGACAGAATCATAGAATTAATTCTCTGTCAGAAAAGCTGCATTTTAAGAAGACTGCAGCACCCAATCTGGTGAGAACAAAACTGATAAGACACTTTGTTTTGGTCTGTGGCCAGCCACGGTATGTGGGTTTCCATAGTGATCAAGGTGTTTAAACTGAAGAGTTAGGCAAGGAGGAGCAAAAGCGCCAGGGCAGCTGACCCAAGCTGGCCAAAAGCATTCCATACCATAACCTCATGCTCACTATAAATTGGAACGTTTGCTGGGGATGACCCCTCTTCCCTAGTGGCCACCATCCCTGGAGAGTCTTGCCTGTCATTCTGCTCCCGAGGTCTGCTCTCCTGCTTGTTGTCACCATCCTGCTTTCATTGGCTGAGTATAACTTGGTGTATTTTATATTAGTATTGATATCAGTTGTTGTTATTAATATTTCATTAAATCTGTTTTCAGTTAATGATAATTATATATATTATAATTATTTAATGATAATGATAATTTTATTAGTATTGATATTGTTATTATTAATATTTCATTAAATCTGTTTTCATTTCAACCCGTGGGCTTCCTTTCCTTTTCACAATTCCCTTTCCTAGGTGGGGACAGAACAACTGACTAAACAAAGACACCCAGTTTGAGAGTCAGTCAATTTTTATTATCTATTGCTAGATGAGAATCATCTCTTTACCTAAAATCCAAAGGTTTCTTGTTCAGCTTTTGCTGTAAAACAAGATCAAAGTATCAGTGGTTACCTGAGCTTCCAGCTTTGTTTTGGCATCCACGCGGTTACTGTCACACAGTCGCTCCAGCTCCTCGGCGTGTTTCACAGCTTTGCGCAGGCGGGACAGCAAGTGAAACCGTTTGCGAGGCTCTGTGTTTGCTTCCTGTTTCAGCTGCATGGCATAACTCCAGGCTCTCTCTGCATCCATCAGAATCAACAATAAATACCTAGAGGGCAGAGGAAGATTAATGAAAAAATAATGACATTCCAACAAGTATTTCGACATCACCACTACTTCTCTGCCATGCGATCTGCAAAGTTTGGTAACCAAAGTTCAGTTTCTTTAATAAGAGGCAGATGCTTTTCTTTCTTAACATTGTAAGCACACAAAGCCCTTTTATTCCTAACACAGTTAATTCCTAACACGGTTTTCTACTGTATTTCTCACTACAGAAATGTAATTACCCAACTCAGGAAAAGGATTTGGTATCCTTCTGCAGCGTCACAGACATTGCAAAGACATGGGATTTAGGATTTTAGGTCGCTCTTTAGATTGGGGGAAATGTATCTCTTTTCCCACCTTTCCCACCAGTCAATGCTATAATGCATCTGAATGAGCATTTCTTCTTTAATATCCAAGTAATTTACTGATTATGAAAAGAACCCATTTTAGCAACTATGAGGGAAGAGAAGGAACTGTCTGTTGCTGTTCCCTTTTCTCCCACTTGTTCACGCGATGAAGCAGGATCTGAGCAGTGCCTCTTCCCCCTGCGCTGCAGCCTGAACTTTCATCTTTTATTGAATGTTAATTAAAATTAATTAATCTCTGAAAAGAAACATTCCTGAGTATACGGTACAGAACAGTTTTCCACTACACCTCTAGGAAAATAAATTACTGAAATGAAATAAACTATTCACTAATACACTGCATGCTCGATTCCACCCCGTGATCGTACCTGTTGTCTGAGAGAATCTCTTCGGTTACTTTCTTCCCCGTGAACTTGTGCCTATTCCCCATCTTGAAGTTCAGAGTTTTTCGGAGCCGCCTTAGCCTACGGGAGCAATAACCCCTAGAGAAAAGACAACCAGTGTCAGCTTGGCCAAAAAACAACTTTGTTCCTGTTTACTGCTCTCCCCAACCAGAAAAAAAGGACCAATGGCTGAGACAGACAATGTTTTAATAAGAACTCTGTGTAACATACAGCAAGAGGCAGTTCAGAAACTACCTGTAAACCAGCAGTTAATAGAACACAAGAAAGGTAAGAAGACATGTAGGTAATAATTCCTCATCTTGAAATATCAGAATGAGGTTCTCCTCACTGTCGATTTGTTTTATGTATGTGTAGTAAACACTCAGTTCTGGTAGAGTCATCAGTGAGATGTTAATAAACAAGCTCTGAAAGTGCAACTGAGAAACAAGAGCCAGTCTGTATCCTCCTCAACAGAACAGGCACATCTAGTGATACGAGTGCATTTTGCTTCACATGAAGCAACCTCTCAAGGGGTATTTACTTGGCAGACCATTTTTGTTGCCAGCTATGGTGAGCTTATATTTGAAATAATAATAAATCCAGGCACACTAACAACTCCAAGACATCCACACTGTTTACTAACCTGTACCTCTGGAAGTCTCCGTGGCGTAAACCGTGCTGCTGCTGAGACTCCTTCACAATCTGAAGGACTGTGATTTGCGTTAAGGCAGATTGACAGGACAGTCTGCGACCAGTTCTTTCTCCTACCCCAAAATAACAGAAGGGAATTCGACAGGTTCCATTGAGCAAATGCACTTTGAACAGAGGGGCACCCAAAAACCTCTTAAAAACATACAGCTCCGAGAACTGAGGATCCTAAGAGACCTCATGACTCCACTGCTTACTTCAGAGCTCTGACTGTCACCAAGGCCAGGACTAAGACACACCACAAGCACCTTCTCTCAGGAAAGGGACAGAAGTACACTGAGCACAATCAGCACTGCCTTTCTAACACAGCTTCCACAAACAAACTGCTTTCTGAAGACAGAGAACCAAAACCCACCTGGACACCTTCCTGTGTGATCTCATTTAGGTTCCTGCTCTGGCAGGGGGATTGGACTGGATGATCTTTTGATGTCCCTTCCAATCCCCAACATTCTGTGATTCTGTGATTCATTCAGGGGTTTATTTTCTGCTGTGTTCTTTGCCACGTTTCTAGTCTCCCTGCATATCCCCAGAACAAGAACTGTGACAGAATGCCCTGGCCTGTGACTTGCAACAGCATCACTCCACCATTTCCATCCAGTCTCTGCATTCTTTAGCATATTTGCTGATTTCTGTGCATCCTGTACTTACTTTATTCACACAGTTTCACTACCCAATACAACCATGCTCTATTCCAGTAAATGCTATGTTATTCCTTCTGTTTACAAGACAGATTTTTTTCTGAAATAAAATCTTCATCATTTCTCCAAGAAATCTCCGTGGCTTAAGTATTTATATCCCAAAATCTCCCTTTTAGGCTTTACTAAGAAGCTTTTAAAAAAGCCCACAAAACTAAACCAGACTAAACAATTACCTCATCAAAAGAAACACAATTACTGTAGCTAGAGAAAAAGAAACTACAAGACTTTTTAAAGTGTAAAATGACAGACATCTACCAAAGTGTGTGCTTGGAACGACACCTAAAAGAAAGTCTCCTTAGTTTAGGTATTAAAAACCTGCATCAACAGTTATTACATTGAATTAATTTGCATTTGTAGAACAAAATGAAACCACCCTGGGCAGTAACTCACTGAATTCATATCCCTTCTGTTATTGACTTTTTCATTAATGGTATTCCCACCATTACCAGAGCAATTACTCTGTCTGCAACTTTCTCAATAGTTACCAACTTCACAACACCTACCACATACTAAATGGAAAACTGCCACCGTATTTCACTTGGGGCTTCCTCTTACCCGGCAGATAAAACTCAGCTCTATCACAGCTGTGCAGCTGGACTACTTTCACATCAAAGTTTCACCTACAAAAATGCCACGAGCTTTACGTGCCACATCAGATTCTAGACGTGCTAGATCTGGAGAAGCTGGCTGGCCATCTCCGCGTAGCTGTTCAGATTTATTTCATCCACTATTGCCCACTTCCAGCATTTACCTTACTGCCAGAAGCTTACTGCCAG